GTACTAAAAAAAAACAATAAATTTTGTATCATTTGGATTTAGAAAAAAAACTTGACATTTGGTGTAAAAGGTAAGTTTAGGAATACGTTAAGGTAATATAATATTATTGGAAATACGTACTAAGGTGAAGAACTGTACTAAATTTATATAATTATTATACCCTCCACCATAGTATGGAAAGTATATTATGTTTGTTATTTCGTTTGTAACACCTCGAAATATACATTTTAGACCCCAAAAGGTATATATTCTTGATCAGCATAAAATTCTATGTCGATTTAGCAATGTCTGTCCGTCTATCCGTCTGTCTGTCTGTCTGTGGAAATCACTCTAGCTTCCGAACGAAATGTAGCAGGTTGATAAAATTTTACTCAAATGTGTATTATGTCTGTAGAACTTTTGGTATTGAAAATGGGTCATTTAGGTCCACGTCTTTGTATAGCCCCCATATAACGGTATCTCCCGATATGCGGTGTTTTGACGATTTTAGCGACATTATTTACCGGAATTGTTTTAAATTTGGTATTTAAAGTTCGTACAAGATACTACGGCTTAAGACAGAAAATGGGTCATGTAGCTCCACGTCTTCGTATAGCTCCCATATAACGGTATCTCCCAACATTCGGTATTTTGATGATTTTAGGGACATTATTTTGCCGGAATTGTTTCAAATTTGGTATTTGAAGTTCGTAATGGTAACTACAGTCTATGCCAGAAAATTGTCTGTGCATGTTTTATAGCCCCCATGGTACCTCCCTATATTCGGTATTTTGATGATTTTAGCTACATTATAAACAGTTTTTTTTAAGTTTCGCATTTGAATATTGTAATATCTTTTGAAAAAAAGTCGAATATAGACCCTAATATACGGCTACATTCGGTATTTTTAAGATTTTTACAGAATTTTTAACGGATCTTTTTTTTTTGCCAAATTTGTACCTTATGGTGGAGGGTATTCAAAGTTCGACCCGGCTTTTTTACTTGTTCTCTTAGAAAATCGTCAAAATATCAAATCGTCAAAATACCAAATATGCCGAGGTACAATTATATGGAGTCTATACGAAAACAGATATAGCTCATCTTCGAACTTGACCTGCTGCAAACATAAGTCAATTCTATGCAAAATTGTAGCTTCCTATCCGTTTGTTTTACTCTGATCAGGAATATATATACTTTGTTGGGTCTGACATGAATAGTTCGAGGAGTTACAAACGGAATGATACAGTTAATAAGCCCTCCATAGTATGGTGGTATAAATAGTCGGGTTCATTACACTATTTATAACTCAAGAACGGCTTTACGGATATGAATGACAATTGATGAGAATGTAGCTAGAACTAGGGGCGACATAGGACACTATTTATTCTGCAAATGTACTAGAAGTACTAAAAATCGAATCAATTGTATTATTCAAACGGATTGAGGTAGAATTCTGAAATTCGGGATGAAATTCGCTGACGGAGTGTAGGATAGGTACACTAAAGAGTTTTTTGAAATTCGAACTAAAAGCACTTAAAGCACTGTATTTGGTATCATTTGGTATTATGTAAACGGATAGAGCTAAAATGTAGTCATTTTGTATAAGAATTAGGTTGAGGAACTAGGGTTGACAAGCAGGTGGTTTTTGAAATATATGCTAATTGTAAGAACTGTACTATTTGATACAAAATTTGTTACAATTCGGATTTGGGTGAACGGATGGGCTGGAAATTCGACATGTTCATATTGGGGCACTTTTACTGTGAAGTGTTGAAATTTTAGGGTGGTTTCTGAAAAATGTACTTAACAAAAGTGATAGAACTGGAACTCTGAAATTTTGTTATTGGGGCCACTTTTTGAAAGTAGAGTGGAAAAAGAGGAAAAAAGATGCAAAATTTGGTACAGTTTTGTTTTGGATGAGTAGAAAAAGGTAAAGAAGGTTAAAGTTTAGAATCGATGGAGGTATTTCTGGAGATGTGTACAACAAGTGTATAACAAGTAGGAAAAATACTAAATGATACTAAGTTTTATATATGTGTGTAGGAATAGAAATGAACTTTTTAATTCTGCTATGAGGGTAACTGTAGATTAGATTTTGGGACCTTTTTTTTGGAAATGCGTACAATATAGTTAACGAAAAGTACGAAATTCGGTAGAAAGTGTAAGAACAGAACTGTAAAAATAAATGTTTATATTAGAGGATGGTACTGGAATGTGTGGACCAAATTGTCCCATATTCATACATGGACTGATTTGTCCACTTTTCACTTGATCTAGCACCGACATATTTATTAAAATGTGCAAACTTTGAAAAAAATATCATATGATACATTATCTTTTTATGAAATTATGATGTCACTAAAACCCCAAAAATATCTTAAAATCGGGCCGTACCTTTATATGGGGCTAAATCGAATCCTGAACCTAATTTCCATTTCAAACTCGTAAAAACAAGTAAAAAAGCTGTAAGTTCGGTCGGGCCGAACTTTTAATACCTCCACCATTTGGTACAAATTTGGCAATTTCCAAAAAAAAAGAAAACAGTAAAGAAAGTCTTCAAGTCGGGCGAGGCCGACTTTATGATACCCTACACCACTTTGCTAATTAAGTAGAGCTTCACATAACAATTAAACGTTTTTATGGGAGAATTCAATCATACACGCTATGATTATAATTATAATTTAAAGTTCAAAGGACTAAATATGCCGAAGCATTTGTATCTTTTAAATTCGGAATTGTATTGCCCATTTGGTGCACAATTAATTTGAAATCGGATAAAGATATATATGGGAGCTATATCCAAATCTGAACCGATCTCGATAAAATTTGGCAAACATATTTCTGAGCTGTATTTGATATATTTCCGTGAATATCGTTGTTACGGAGTGCATATTACGGTTGTGGGTAACAAATATAACAAATCGGATGAATAATATATATGGAAGCTATAGCTATATCTGAACCGATCTTCACCAAATTTGACGTACTAGCTTCTAGACTCAATTCGGTCGTAAGTGCCAAATTTCATCCCATTTGGACAAATATTAGACGTTTGGTGCACAATCAAAGGTAAGTCGGACGAAGTTATATATGGGAGCTATATCCAAATCTGAACCGATCTCGATAAAATTCAGCAAAGGTATTTCTGAGCTGCATTTGATATATTTCCCCAAATATTGTTGTTACAGAGTGAATATTACGGCTGCGGAGGACAAAAATAACAAATCGGATGAACAATATATATGGGAGCTATAGCTATATCTGAACCGATTTCGATCAAATTTGGCACACATATTTTCAGGCCTAATTTGGGTGTATATGCAAAATTCCATACAATTCGAGCTGATATAACACGTTTGGTGCACAATAAAAGGCAAATCGGACGAAGATATATATGGGAGCTATATCTAATTTTTGACCGATTATCTCCAATTTCAATAGGGTTCGTCCTTGGGACAAACAAATGATTTGTGCAAAATTTCATCTGGATCGGACAATAAATGCCACCTGTACTTTGTTTACAAAAATACATGGACAGACGGACGGACGGACGGACAGACGGACGGACGGACATGCATAAATCGACTCAGAATGTGATTCTATGCAGATCATCAAAAGGAACTATGGGTCTATCTCGTTTCCTTCTGCCTGTTACAAACAAATGCACAAAGACATAATACCCTGACCACCTTGTGGTGTAGGGTATAAAAAATAAAATAAAAAATAAATAAATAAATAAAATCCGTAAAAATTTTGTTAAAAACTTAAAAATACCGAATGCTTATACGACGACGTGGACCTGCATAGGCAACTTTTGTCATAAGTTATTACAATATTTAAATGCGAAACTTGAAGAAAAATCTGTTTATAATTTAGCTAAAATCATCAAAATACCGAATATAGGGGGTATCGTTATATGGGGACTATACGAAGACGTGGACCTGCACAGACAATTTTCTGGCATGGGCTGAAGTATCCATTACGAACTTCACAAGGGAAATTTGAAACAATCCCGGTAAATAATGTCGCTAAAATCATAAAAATACCGAATATCGAGGGGTACCGTTATATGGGGGCTATGCGAAGACGTGGACCTACATGGCCTATTTTCTGTTTTATGCTGCAGTATCTATTACGAACTTCAAATACCAAATGTGGTTTAATAATGTCGCTAAAATCATCAAAATACCGAATATCGGGGGATACCGTTATATGGGGGCTATATGAAGACATGGACCTACATGGCTCATTTTTTGACTTAGAATGTAGTCTCCATTATGAACTTTAAATACCAAATTTGGAACGATTCCGTTAAATAATGTCGCTAAAATCATCAAAATAACGAATATTGGGGGGTACCGTTATATGGGGGCTTTACGAAGACGTGGACCTCCATGGCTCATTTCTTGATTTGGGATGTAGTATCCATTACGAACTTCAAATACCAAATTTGAAACAATTCCGATGAATAATGTCGCTAAAATCGTCAAAATACCGAATATCGGGAGGTACCGTTATATGGGGGCTATATGATAACCTGGACCTACATGGCCCATTTACGAACTTAACCTGCCTGATATTGGGTCTGACATTAGTATTTCGAGGAGTTACAAACGGAATGACCAAATTAATACACCCTCCATAGTATGGTGGAGGGTATAAGAAGGTCAAAAGATGGGAAGGGACGACTATATGATACCCTATACCATCGTACACATTTATTAAACCTACCCTAAACAAATAAATTTGATTTCACTTTTGGTTGTTTTGTAATGCATTTAATGGGTGTCTGGAATGAAAAACATACGTGGGACATATGGCTACATGGAAAGTTAATTCGGTCATTATCATTATTTAACTTAAAGAATGTCAAATTTTATAATTTTATGATATAAATTAGATTATTGTTGCTCTAAAAATGCCAGTGATAATGGTATTTTATATGATCTCTATGTTTGTATTAATCAAAAAACTCAGCAAAAAAAAAATTAAAATCGTTTTATGTTTTTATTGTTTTTCAGGCGATCGCGAAACTTAAGTGAAAAGAAACGGCGAGATCAATTTAATTCACTGGTTAACGATTTGAGCGCTTTGATTTCGACATCAAATCGAAAGATGGACAAATCCACGGTACTGAAGTCAACGATAACATTTCTCAAGCATCACAATGGTAAGCTTGAAAGTTGGATAATTTAAAATAAGAACAATCCTATTTCTTTTGTTTTTCCATAGAAGCAACTGATAGGTCAAAGGTTTTTGAAATACAGCAGGAGTGGAAGCCCTCGTTTCTCAGCAACGATGAGTTCACTCAGCTGATGTTGGAATCTCTGGATGGGTTTATAATTGTTTTTGGGAGTAGCGGATCGATTTTTTATACATCGGATAGTGTTACAGCCCAATTAGGTTATTTGCCGGTGAGTTGCTGTTTCAGTTGATTAATGTGCAACCATAATAATTATTCCTCTTTTTCCGATTTTTTTATGGTGTTGTGAGCAGTGTGATCTCATGAAAATGACAATTTTTGATTTATCCTACGAAATGGATCACGAGATACTTTTGAATATGTTCCTCAATCCCAAGCCCGTAATTGCTCCCATGCAAACTGACATTGGCGCCCGCAATCAAATAACCTTTTTCCTGCACTTGAAACGTAGGGGCACTGAGGATGGCGATCGGAACTCGTTTGAATTAGTAAAATTTGTAGGTTATTTTAGTATGTATTCCGTTAAGTATACTTTTGTCGTGTCGACTCGGAGGACATAAAGTGTTATCGCTAATTATGTTGGCATTTTCAGGAAACGATGCAAAAATCGATGTGGTTGATCAAAATACTCAAACATCTTTGCCTCGTACACTCCAACGGAATGCCACATCCGCGATGGATCTGGACCACAAGTTGATCTTTGTCGGTACTGGCCGTTTGCAAATGCCTCAGATGATACGTGAAATAACCGTAACAGATCCGACCTGCAGCGAATTTACCTCAAAACACAGCATGGAATGGAAGTTCCTGTTTCTTGATCAAAGAGCCCCTCCCATAATTGGATATATGCCTTTCGAAGTTTTGGGTACCTCAGGCTATGACTACTATCACTTTGATGATATTGATGACATTGTTAGCTGTCATGAGAAATGTAAGTCTGAATCCGAACATGCGTCTCTTATGAGATCTAATTGTAAATATGTCTATCTTCTCAAGTAATGCAAGAAGGCAAAGTTAAATCGGGTTACTATCGCTTCTTAACCAAGGGTCATCAATGGATTTGGCTCCAAACTGATTCGTATATTTCCTACAATCAGTACACCACCAAACCGGAATATGTGGTCTGCACTCACAAGGTCATCAATTATATAGACGTTTTAAAATACGGCACTTATGACAGAAATAAACCGGCCTCTTCGGCCAAACCGTCATCATCATCATCATCGTCTGCTCTAGCCCCCCGTGAAATGGCGAACAAAAATCCCACCAATACAATAGATACAAAATTACCCGTAACACCAACTGATATTAATGCGGATACAGTTCCAACGTTAACAGCCTCGACGGCAGCGGTGGCTTGCACCACGCCCAACAACAACATGATAACTGTCAGTAGTTCCAACAACATATACAGCCACCCCACAAATCTAATTGGCGATATTCTGCGCAATGAAACTCCACCCAGTTTAGATTCATCGACGCTATGGACAAATCCACCCACCCCCACCGGAGCAGGTCAGAGCTGTCAACTGCAGGCCATAAAATCGAATTCTCGTCCAGCTTCTAGTTATGGTAATATTAGCTCGACGGGTGTTTCACCGAATGTGAAACGAAAACGCTACATGTACAATTGCCGTGGCAATGAATCGGATTCCACGTCGATGTCTGCTGAATCGGGCACAAGCCGTCAATCATTAATGACGCATATGAGTACGGTAAGTTGGTAAATTATTATATGTAACATGTCGAGCTGGGTTTTTATACCCCTCACCATTATTGCGAAGTCAGAATCTCAAAAATTTGTGAAATGGCCACATTCCTAAATACATTCAAAACCGCGACTATTTTTAGTTCCAGCGAAATCACCAATGCACGAAGAAGTCACTTCTGACCTTTATATTGATGCTGATATCTAAGATATTGCATATGTAGCATAATATATACAATATCATACAGGGTGAGATAAAAAAAACTGCAACCATCTTCAGACTGCTGTCATTTCTAAGCCACTCGTCCGACAGCTGTAAAAATTATTCCAGTGACAGCTCATTATATTGTTTACAAGCGCACAAAAGCATTATGGTAAGAAAATACCGCAGAGCAACATTCGGGCAGCGTGTGACCAAATTCCTTCCAAAGGTGACCAATTCGAACATATCCAAACTTATTCCAAAAGTTAATGCTATTTCCGACATTTTTTACTTTCATTCAATTAAATTTTTAAAAATATGTAAAAATGATGGCGTTTGACTTTGTTGTTATTTTTTTTATCTCACCCTGTATATATATTCGGAGATCTATATTTTTGTCAGCACTAGGTCAGTTTCGAAAAGGAACAATATTGCCCCACTCCATCAAGTACCTCCAACACTAAGGGTCATAATTTGGAATAATTATAACTCATATAAAATGATAAATAAAAATCCGATTGCCTTCAAATTTCAAACATTCCTATATTTTTATCAACACAAGAACTGGTGTGAAGGTGGGATATATCGTTCTACTCCTTCTGGTAGCTCCGCCATAATCCGCCAATTAATCTGGTCCAATCCCACAAAAGGGTCAATCGACGGATACTTTTTAACTTTTTTTTTTTTGGTAACTGAAATTCATATTTTCAGGACTTAATTAAATCATTTTTACATTACAGGGTCGGCAAAGGTTTACTTCCAATTTGGGGCACAGCAATTATTCCGGCAGCGGACATCACCAGCAACAGAACTTGACATCCACAAATCCCCATCATCACTCACACTTTTCACATCACCAGCAAAATCATTCGCAACAACAGTCATCCCAACACGCCCAGAGCCTACATCAGCAACAACAAATGCAAATGAATTCTTCGCCACAGGGTCAAAGAATGTTCCAGTCGATACCTGCAATCGTACAGGGAAGCCCTATAGCCGGCACTGGAACGTGTCAATTTTCTCAGCCTACATTTCCCATACGAAGTCCTCAAATTGTGGCTCCACCCTTTATAGAATCGCCGCAATATCTCACAGCGATACCGGTGCAGCCGGTCATAGCTCCATTTCAGGTTGCCCCAGTTATATCACCCCTACCGGTAAGATTCCATTTTCAACAATCTTTATATTTAGGCTAATTTAAAAAATGCTGTTATTTTCTTGAAGCATCATCCCCAGCACGAGATGATAGCTGCGCCAGTAGTAATGACCCCATCCCAAAACCAATTGCAAGAACAGCTTCAACGAAAACATGACGAATTGCAGAAGTTAATTCTTCAGCAGCAGGATGAACTGCGAATTGTTTCCGAGCAACTGCTGTTGGCTCGCTACACCCTGCTGCAGCCAATGATGCCAGTGAACTATGGCCAAACCGATGCTCTGACGCTGGGCAACAACAGTCGCAACATTAATTTCAACAACAATGCGGTACAACAGCAATTCAATCAATACGGATTTGCAATGAATTCCAACGAAATGAATAACCAACAAATCATGTTGCAGCATCAGCAAAATTTACAACAACAACTGCAACATAGTCAAGCTCAGCGACACCAGTGTCAACAACAACAGCAGCAGCAGCAGCAACAGCATCAGGCAAGCCAACAGCTACAGGCGAATATGGCAAACACAACTAATGCAGCAAGTAACACCCATCCGCCACACCAACCCATACATTCCGAAGAGCCGGATGAAATGCTTCTAAATCGAAATGTTCCGGACTTGGAGCAATTCGCTCAGGAAGAATTTGATGCTTTTCTAAATCTATCGCCGTTACAAAATATAGGCACCTCCGAACCAACGCTGAATAGTATCTCAGCAACAGTACAAAATCCGAATGCAGCAAATCCGAATACTCCCGCCAATATCAGCAGTACATCAAACCCCCTCAACAGTGCTGATTCAGGGCACATTATGGAAACGACACCATACAAAGGGGATTCGAACAATGCTGCCGCTACAACCAGCGAAGATTCAATCTTCTCCTACATACAACTGGCCGCAGAATCTAGTCATCCCATGAACTTCAACATGAATATCAGTGATGACATCACGGATGCAAATGTAGAGGATAACAAGCTAATGTCTCATTCCGCCAACAATGAGAGAAGTAACATCAATCACGCCGACCATCATCAGCTTGCCTTGCCCAACCCTCAACCCACATCACAGCAAAATACATCACCCTTGGGTCCGCAACAATCTCAGCGATCTACATTATTTGCTGCATGTCAATCGTCTCCCAGAACAAATGATGTTCAACTTCCCAATACCACAGCACATCAGCCGACATCACAGATTGGCAACAACAGTGGCATCAACAACAACCCAACTTCCAATAACAACGATTCGAGTGCTTTGTCAAATACCATGAATCGAATATTGCCATTTCAAATTGCCTCAGAACCATTGGAAAATATCTTCAATACCACAAACTCCTCCACGCAGCAAAGTGGGGGAACAAATCCATAACAGTACTCTAATTATTTCGGATAATAGGCGAAATTTTTTGTAAATATGTAGGTATGTAAGTTCTGTGTAAATATAGTTATAGGAATTAAGTTGTATATTCCATTTCATCCAATACACCCGGTCATATAATTTATTGTATTCATTGAATATACTCCACTAAACTAAAAGACATTTCTATTACAAACATGGCAAGAAAATTTGGATCCCAAAATCGATCTGGCAAATATGAATGAATGTGATTTTTTCCGAAATATGTCTGGGGAATTTTGTCTAGTTAAATTAAATTTTCTGAAAGCTAGTCTAAATTACTTCGAACATTCTAAAAAAGAAAACAAGTAAAAAAACATTAAGTTCGGCCGGGCCAAACTTTCAATACCCTCCACCTTAGGGTAAAGGAAACATTAGGGCCCATTATGACCCACATATACCAATTTTTAAACACATTCATGGGAAAATGTGCCAAAAATCATCAAAATTCCAAATATCGGGAAATACGGCTATATGAGGCTATACAAAAACGTGGAGCTATACATACAGTGTTTCGCCAAAAGAGCTAGAATCCATTAAGACCAAAAAATACCAATTTGTAGACAAATCCGCGAAGAAATATGGCAAAAACCGTTAAAATGCCGAATATCGGGAGGTACCGTTATATGGGGACAATACCAAATCGTGGACCTATACATGCAATGTTTCGCCAAAAGTGCAAGAACCTATTATGACCTACAAATGTCAATTTTCAGACAAATCCGTGAAAAAAGTGGCAAAAATCGGGAGGTACCGTTATATGGGGACTATACCAAAACGTGGACCTATAATTACAATGATTCGCCACACGAACTAGGACCTATTATGACCTACAAATACCAATTTTTAGACAAATCAGTGAAAATATGTGGCAAAAACCATCAAAACACCGAATATCGGGAGGTACCGTTATATGGGAGCTATACCAAATCGTGGAGCCATACATGCAATGTTTCGCCACCGGAGCTGGAACCCATTATGACCAACAAATACCAAATTTTAGACAAATCCGTGAAAAAATATGGCAAAAATCAACAAAATACCAAATATCGGGAGGTACCTTTATATGGGGACTATACCAAAGCGTAGGCCGATATATCTCATTTTCAATACCAGCCATCCTAGATACAATACAAATTGCTCTGATAAATTTTGGCGCTCAACGTCAAATAATGTGGACTGTATCGTGATTTCAACCGACAGACGGACATCGTTAAATCGACTTAGAATTTTATGCTGATTATGAATATATATACTTTATGGGGTCTACGGCGAATGTTTAAGGATGTTACAAAAGGAATGACAAAGTTAATATACCCTCCTTTCCAAGGTGGAGGGTATAACAAAAACAAGTAAAAAAGCATTAAGTAAGTTGAATACCCTCCACCATTTGGAACGAATTAGAAAATTTTCAAAAAATAAAATCCATTAAAAATTCTGTTAAAATCTTTAAAAAATCTAACATCGGAAGATATTAGATATATCGATATACGATATTGTAGACCTATATAGACAATTACCTTTCAGGGGTTAAAGTGCTCACAAAGAACTCCTTGTGTAGAATTTCAGACAATTCCATTGAAAAATGTGTCTAAAATCATCAAAATACGCAATATCGCGGGGTACCGTTATATGGGGGCTATACGATATCGTGGACCGATATCTTCGAACTTGACCTGCCTGCAGACAAAAGAGAGATCTGTGCAAAATTTTAGCTTCCTATCTTTATTCGTTTAGATTGTACAACAGACGGACGGACAGGGATAAATCGTCTTAGAATTTTACGCTGATCAAGAATATATATACTTTGTTGGGTCTAAAATGATTATTTCGATGAGTTACAAACGGAATGACGAACTTAATATACCCTCCATACTATGTATGGTGGAGGGTATAAAAATACTAAATTGTACTAAATATTGTAACGACCCATACTCCCACAATTAGGGCCTGTATTGAGAACTTTTGCGAGGATACTTGCAAAAATCTTTCCAATACCGAATATCAGTAGGTTACGTCGTGTAAGTACTTTTGAAACTTTTTTTGCCATAAAATGCTACCTAATTAGAACCTAAAATATTAAACTGCAACTGATTCCGTGGGAAAATGAGACAGAAGCCTTCAAAATACAGAAAACCAGGAGACGTTGTTATATATTGCAATGTCAATTTGGAGATCATTTAATTGAAACTTGGAAAAAAATTGGGCGCCACTTTTGTTACAAAAAGAAGAACCTTCCAAATTCCAAAAATCGGAAAATACCTTAATATGAGAGCATTGTTTGTAATCACATAATGAGAAGCAGATATTTTAAGTTTTAGTTAATTTTGTGCGAAATTATAACAAACTTTCGTATTCCAAATACCAAGAGGTGTCATAAAATGGGACCTACATTAAATTCTGAATCTACAAAGAGACTTTTTGCGAGATAAATTCTACCTAATTAGGTCCCGATATTTCCAATTTCAGCTAGTTTGTTGGAACTTGTTTCTGAAAACGTCAACATAACGATAATTGGGAGGTACTGTTATATGGGAAAATCTCTATGTAATTTCTTGAGAGAATGTTATGGTGTTCATTTTTTGTTTAATAAACATTTGTTCTGTTCCAGAACTGCAAGATTGTAAAATAAAATGTTGATAAAGCTTACCATTATGGAGACATAGAAAAACTAAAAATTTGGACTTTTGTCATAAAATATGTTTTTATACCCTACAACACTATGTGTTGGGGGTATTATAAGTTCGATTGGTTCAAAAATTATGTAACACCTCGAAATATTGGTTTCCCACGTAGGAAAGTATGTATGGATCTTCCTATCTCGCAGAGCTGATTCGATCTAGCCTATGTATGTCTGTCCGTTCATGTTAATTTGTAATTATTCTACAGGTCGCAATTAAGGCCAGAATAGCAGCCTATTGCTTTTGGATGATCGCATAATATTTAGGGTTCGGAATGGACCAAAAACTGAAAAATCGACGCGGACGCGTTCCAATTTTGATGATCATCGGGTAATATTTAGTGGGTGAAATAGATCATAACATGTGTATTAAATAAAAGGCAACATTTCCATTAAAACGCGAATATTTTTAATGCCGGCGAAATCACAAATAGACGAACAGGTCAATTCTGACCGTTATGTAGATGCCATAGTAAATATATCGGATATATATAGCGAAATATATACACTGTATATATCCAAAGAAGGGGATGTTAGCTAGAATGCTTATATCTCAAGAATGGCTGGACCTATTTTGACAAATTTTGTCAATTCAGAATGCCCTCTTGGCATTAAAGTATAAAAACTAAAAAAAAAAACCGAACTAAAAGATTTCAATAACGATATTAACAGTACGTTTACATATAAAAAGGATTTGGATTGAAATTGTCATATCCATTACTTATACTTCAAATAAATCCTCATAACGTAGGTTAACCCTACAAAATGTTTGTACTATTTTGTAATATTTTTTTATTTTTCATATTTTTTATCGCATGCGATTTTTTTCAATTTCGACTTATAATATTGAAGTGTATATTTTGTAATATTTTTGCACCTTACAACACAGGTTGGGGTTATTATATACAGATTGCAATTATCGTCCGATCCTGACGAACATTTTCACATGGGCAGGGTTAGGCTCAGAAGGGCTAGGTCTATTGTTTTCAAAGATGTCCACAATATATTTAGGGGTTGAAATGGACCAACAATTAAAAATGTTCCTGATTTTGCAGCCGTTATAAACGTCACAAATAGAAACCAATGGACACGCATGAAGTCAGAGTTTAGGAAAGCGGGTGGAATGGACCACTACTATTGTGTAAAAAAATACGAACATTATTTACAGGCGATATCCGATATAAACGCGGTTTTATACTGATTTGGTTGACAAACATAACCAAATATCGTGGACAAGCAAATTATATAGATGAGTATAAATTTGGAGCTACAGAGGGGCCTCTTGCTTCTGGAGATGATCGCAAAATATTTATGGTTTCAAATGAGCCAAAAACAGAAAAATATACCAGATCACACAATTGAAGTCAATCGACACGTCGGAGAAGAGAGTGAAGGACAGGGAAGAATTCTAGCATTTTGGATGACCAATGGATTATATTTATCTGTAAAATGGACCATAACAACTAACAGCACGACGGAGTCCGTAAATATTGAGCAAATATCCCTGCTCAAAATGTTAAGTATAATGTATGGGCAGTGCTCCATAACATAATTTCTAAAGCGAAATCTTGCAAAATTGACATTTTGTAGTGTTGTAGGGTATCACATTGTCAACCCCGCACGGCTTCACTTCATAGGTTATGTCAGTAGTGAACATTCTTTGAGGGAGAATGTATGAGTACTGAGAACCTTAAATATGCAGTTGATTTTCTTAGAAATTCTGGCTGAATCCTTAAATATTCCTGATGAGGATGATGGCCATAGGATTAAAGTTCTAATAAGTAAAAAAACTACAGTTGGTTTGGGACAATTATGTGATTTAGCTTTCAAACGGACTAAAAATTGGTAGACAAAATTCCACTTAAATATATTTTTAAGGTTCCAAGGATTTTTGGTAAAGATTGGGGATTAATTTATATTTTCAACCAAACTGGCTGGAAATTGGCAGTTTGTGCCAAAAAAAAAACTTCTTGAATAGTACTGAACTCATATGGGTTCAAGAACCCATAACGGTGTTTATACGATTTTAGACACATTTTAAATGAGATTTTTAAAACTAAAATTGATATTTAAAATTACAATAGCATGCATGTCCACGTTTTCGTATATCCCCCATATACACAGAGGGTAGATATCATTTGATATGACCAAACGAAATAACGGTTATAGGCCCTAGGTATCTTTGTGCCAAATCCGTTTCAGGACATTTCGAATCGATCTAGGGGTATACGTCCTTTCGTCCGTCTGGCTTGTGCGCACTATAACGTTCGAATTGATCGATTTGATCTAAACATATTTCGGAGATAGACAATATCTGGCCCCACAAAAGGTCAACAATTTCAAGAATATAAATTGTCGTATAGAACAAGAAAGCATCATCCATTTCTGTACAAATTCAAATATTTGCATCAGTGCTATGTCAGGTACGAAAATGGACCACATCTGTTCACATCACCATGTACCTCCCCCATAAAGGATCAACATTTAGAATAATTATTAATCTCATAAAATGCGAAATCAGCATCCTCAAATTTCGCATATCCCAATAATTCTATCCACATAAGACCAGGTGTGAAAATGGAGCAGACCACTCCACAAAGGGATCAAAATTTTTAATTATTATATCTCTCATATAAGCGAAAAATCTTCAGATTCTCTTAAATTTCATATATGCCAATATTTTTACTAATGCAAGTTCCGGTGTGAAAGTGATAGATATCGGACTACGCCTTCTTCCTCAAAGAGCGTTTATTCCTAAAAAATTGGTTATAGATGTCTGAGTATTACATTTGGTGGAATGCTGTGGTCCAATATATTTGGTACCTCACGCATAATATTGGTCCACTCCTTGGGTATTTCCTCCATAAAGGGTCAACATTTTGAATATATATTTAAATAAATTGACATAGGTTGTGTACCCTCATCTGGCGGCAATATCGACTGATACATTTTAACTTGTTTTTATACCCACCACCATATTATGGAGGGTATATCAATTTTGTCATTCCGTTTGTAACTCCTCGAAATACTCATGTCAGACCCAACAAAGTATATATATTCTTGATCAGCGTAAAATTCTAAGACGATTTAGCCATGTCCGTCTGTCTGTCTGTCTGTCTGTCTGTCTGCCTGTCTATCTGTCTGTTGTAATCACGCTATCTTTCGAACGAATTGAGATAGAAAGATAAAATTTTGCACACATGTATACTTTGTCAGTAGGCAGGTTAAGTTCGTAAATGGGCCATGTAGGTCCACTTTATCATATAGCCCCCATATAACGGTACATCCCGATATTCGGTGTTTTGATGAGTTTAGCGACATTATTCACCGGAATTGATTAAAATTTGGCATTTGAAGTTCGAAATAGATACTATGGCCTAAGACAGGAAATGGTCCATGTAGGTCCACGTCTTCGTATAGCCCTATATAACGGTACCTCCCGATATTCGGTATTTTGATGATTTTAGCGACATTATTTTACAGAATCGTTCCAAATTTGGTATTTGAAGTTTGTAATAGACACTGCAGCATAAAACAGAAAATGGATCATGTAGGTCCACGTCTTCGTATAGCCCCCATATAACGGTACCCCCCGATATTTGGTATTTTGATGATTTTAACGACATTATTTACCGGGATTGTTTCAAACTTGGTATTTAAAGTTCGTAATGGATACTACGACCTAAGACAGGAAATGGTCCATGTAGGTCCACGTCTTCGTATAGCCCCCATATAACGGTACCCCCCGATATTCGGCTTTTTGACGATCTTAGCGACATTATTTACCGGAACTATTTCAAATTTGGTATTTGAAGTTCGTAATGGATACTACATCCTGAGACAAAAAATGTCTTAGGACCATGTAGGTCCACGTCTTCATATAGCCCCCATATAACAATACCCCCGATATTCAGTATTTTGATGATTTTAGCTACATTATAAATAGATTTTTCTTCAAGTTTCGGATTTAAATATTGCAATAACTTGTGATAAAAGTTGCCTAAGCAGGTCCACATCGTCGTATTGGCATTCGGTATTTTTAATTTTTAACAAAATTTTTAACGGTTTTTTTTTTAAATTGCCAAATTTGTACCAAATGGTGGAGGCCGAACTTACAACTTTTTATACCTTCAGCCATATGGCTACAGAGGGTATATATCATTTGATGCGGTCAAAACGTGCCTAGTCGAAATAACGGTTTTAGACCCTAGGTCTCTTTGGACCAAATCCGTTTCAGAACATTTGGAGTCGATCTAGCGATGTCCGTCCGTCTGTCTGTCTGTCTGGCTGGCTGGTGCGCACGATAACTCTCGAAGGGAGTATCCGATTTGGTCCAAACTTGGTACATCGTAATATTTTTGTCAAACTTAGATCAAGTTCGGAGATGGGCAAGATCGGTCCACTCCTTCTGGTACCTCCCCCACAAAAGGTCGAAATTTGCAAAAAAAATATTCTTTGCACAGAAAGAGAAGGAATAATCCGATTTTGCTCAAACTTTGCAAATCCTAATTTTTGCATCAGTTCTAGGTCAGGTGTAAAAATGGACAATATCGGTCCACTCCATCAAGTACCTCCCCCACAAATGGTCAAAATTTTGAATAATTACAACTCTCATAAAATGTGATTTAAGAGTTCGATTGTCTTCAAATTTCACCCATCCCAATCATTTTATTAGCCAAGGTCTGGTTTTAAGATGGAGTATATCGGTCCACTCCTTGTGGTACCTCCCCCACAAAAGGTCGAAATTTGAAAAAAAATATTCTTTGCACAGAAAGAGAAGGAATAATCCGATTTTGCTCCAACTTTGCAAATCCTAATATTTGCATCAGTTCTACGTTAGGTGTAAAAATGGACAATATCGGTTCACTCCTTCAAGTACCTCCCCCACAAATGGTCAAAATTTTAAATAATTACAACTTTCATAAAATGTGATGTAAGAGTCCGATTGTCTTCAAATTTCGCACATCCTAATATTTATATTAACCAAAGCTCTGGTGTTAAAATGGAATATATCTGTCCACTCCTTCTGGTACCTCCCCCACAAATGGTCGAATTTTTCAAAAATAAAATATATTTTTTTGCACAAAAAGAGAAACGATTATCCGATTTTGCTCCAACTTTGCAAATCCTTATATTTGCATCAGTGCTAGGTCTGGTCCGAAAATGGACAATATTGGTCCACTCCTTCTGGTACCTCCCCCACAAAGGGTCACCATTTTAAATAATTACAACTCTCATAAAATGAGAATTAAGAGTTCGATTGACTTCAAATTTCACCCATCCCAATCATTTTATTAGCCAAGGTCTGGTGTTAAGATGGAGTATATCGGTCCACTTCTTCTGGTACCTCCCCCATTAATGGTCGAAATATCTTCTGCACAGAAAGGGAAGCAATAATCTAATTTTGAAAAACATAACACTCAAAGAAAGCGAAATAAGGATCCAACTCTCTTCAAATTTCACACATACAATAATTTTTGCTAACACCAGATCTGTTGTGAAGATGCTATATATCTGCGAACACCTTCTGGTACCTCACCCACAAAGGGACACAATTTTCAATATTTATATCTATCATAAATTGCGAGGCAACTCAGCGATTAAAAAACGAAATAATTGTGTTTCAATTTTTAAAATGAAGATACGTCTCCATTAAAGTGAATAACATTTCAAAAAAATGGGAAAAACTTGGTGACCAAGTTTATACAAAAAAAATGGGATCATAACGAAATTACTAAATTTCAATTAAATTACTGCTGTATAATTATTAATTATAATTGTCAAAAAATGTTATTATATAAAAATCCTTAATTGTTAATTTAAGTTCTTGCCATAAGTGTTAAAATTTAAATATTACTAATAAGAAAAAAATGTATAATTAAAAAAAAAAAACAAAGTACAAGTATTCCATATCATTATATATTGTATATAAGATCCTCTTGAGGTTATATTCTAAATAGATAAGATGTAAAGGTTTAACATGTAGGTATGATGTAAATATATTCACATAGTTCTTATTTGTAAATATGTAAGTAGTTTATGTTTTGTATTTATATAATAGAACAATATGTCATTTTATGTTTTAATTTGTATTGGAAATTTATTATAAATTGTAAATGATTTTTTTTAGAAAAATTACCGTTTTGTTTATTTTTAAGTCAATAACGATAAGTATGTTAAGATGCCAATCTCATTCTCCATGGAATCCTTAAGCAACTCTGGTGATATCAATTAGTTAGAAGAAAGCATACTTTTACACTTGTGTTTAATTGTCATAAGAAATAAAATAATAATAAACAGATTGTGATAAATGTGTGAGTGTGTGACAAAAAAGTAAAATGTGTTTTTTTTTTTTCTTGACTGTTTTTTTAGGAAAATTGCAAATTATTTTTTAACAAGATAACAGATGTACAGGTTGAGATGAAAAAACTGCAACCAACTTTAGACTGCTGTCATTTCTAATCGACTCGTCCGACAGCTGTTAAAATTATTCCAGTGACAGCTCATTATATTTTTTACAAGCGCACAAATACATTTTAGTTAAAAAATGTTATTCGTGATGGAATTCAAGCTTAATTTCTTTATATTTAGCTGGAAAAGCACAAGTGGGTATCGTTAGAGCACTCCAATATTTAAATTTGAATAAATCTTTTGTGTCTCGTACCATCGCTCGTTACCGTGATACTGGTAGCGTAACCTGACGTCAAGGAAATGGACGGAACAGAAAACAACATCAGCAGAAATGGTTCGAAAAGTAAAGAAGCGACTTGATCGAAACCCGTGTCGAAGTGGCCGAAAATGGCTCGTGAGCTAAACATATCGCAATATTCCATTTGGCAAATATTGAAAAATGAGCTCGGGGTAGAGCTATTGAAATTCCAAAAAGTGCAAGAACTTTCACGGCAACAGAAAGAAATTAGACTCAAAAGAGCTAAACAGTTGCTTCGCTTTGCCGAATTTGGTTTTCTCCGATAAGAAAACTTTCGTTGTCCAGCAGTTTACTTGCGAAAGAGGTCAGCTGAAAATGTGCACCTTCGGTTGGCCATCAGAACTCAAGCGCTGGCCATGGTGATGGTGTGTGCCACCATAACAGCCGATGGTCGCTCTCCGCTCGTATTAATCGACCGTGGCATCAGAATAAATGCCGGATATTATCGTGAAAATATTCTAGAGGGTGTATTAAAGCCTTGGGAACGCAAACATCTTGACCGCAGACCTTGGACATTCCAACAGGACTAAGCAACATTGCATTCTGCACGCGCCACCCAAGAATGGTTACAAAATGAGATTCCTCGCTTCATTTCCAGCGCACAATGGCCACTAAAAATCTCCGGATACCAATCCGTTGGACTATTGTGTCTGAAGTATTTTGGAAAGCCAGGTTTGCACTAAAAAATACCAAAGTGTCGATCACCTCAAGCAAGCGCTTCGCTGGGAATGAGCCAAAATACCGCAGAGCAACATTCGGGCAGCGTGTGACGGTTTTATTGGCCGTGGCCATAATTCGTGTCAATTCGAACAAATCTAAACTTATTCTAAAAATTGATGATATTTCCGACATTTTTTGCTTTCATTCAATAAAATTTAAAAAAAAAGTAAAAATGATGGCGTTTGACTTTGTTGCAGTTTTTTATCTCACCCTGTAGAGATGTGCCAAGACTGAATGGAATCGGACGTTATATGTGCCTCATGGATATTTAAAATTTTGATCCTATGTGGAGGAGGTACCGGAAAGAGTGGACCGACATATTCCATTTTTACACCAGACCTTGGGTTAATAAAAATATTGTAATGCGTGTAAATAAAGACAATCGGACTCTTAGATCACATTTTATAAGAGTTATAATTATGGGGGGTGTTCTTAATCAAGTGGACCGATATGGTCCATTCTCGCACCTGAACCAGCAATTATGCCGATATCAGGATGTGCAAAGTTGCTGCAAAATCGGATTATCTTTTCTCTTTCTGTGCAGTAAAGTATGTTTTTATACCCTCCACCATACTATGGAGGGTATATTAATTTTGTCATTCCGTTTGTAACTCCTCGAAATAATCATGTCAGACCCAACAAAGTATATATATTCTTGATCAGCGTAAAATTCTAAGACGATTTAGCCATGTCCGTCTGTCTGCCCGTCTGTCTGTCTGTTGTAATCACGCTATCTTTTGAACAAATTGAGATAGAAAGCTAAAATTTTGCACACATGTATATTTTGCCAGTAGGCAGGTTAAGTTCGTAGGTCCAAGTTATCATATAGCCCCCACATAACGGTACCTCCCGATATTCGGTATTTTGATGATTTTAGCGACATTATTCCCCGGAATTGTTTCAAATTTGGCATTTGAAGTTCGTAACGGATACTACAGCCTAAGACACAATATTATCTGTGCAGGTCCACGTCTTCGTGAAGCCCCCATATAACGGTACCCCCCGATATTCGGTATTTTGATGATTTTAGCGACATTGTTTGCTTATTTCTCATTTTATGAGAGATATAATTTTTCACAATTTTGACCCGTTGTGAGGGAGTTACCATAAGTAGTGGAGCATTCTATCCCATCTTCATACGAGATCTTACGCTGGTAGATACACTGGGATGTGCGAAATTTTAAGACCATCGGACAGTTTATTAAAATTAGAATTATTCGAAATTTTAACCCTTTGTGGGGGCTGCACTTAATGGAGTGGGCCGAATTTCTATTTTACACCTGACCTAGCACTGATAAAAATTAGTATTTGCAAAGTTTGCACAAAAATCGAATGATTCTGTATTTTTGTAGAAGATAAATTAATTTCTGTGAAAATATTGACTCCTCGTGTGGGAGGTAGCAGAAGGACTGGGCAGATTTGCCCATCTCCGAATTATATCTAATTAAATCCTATTAATATTAATGTTACGATACGGTACCAAGTTCATTCCAAATTGGATAATCCCAGCCAGCCAGATGGACGGAGACCATTTGTTCGACTCCAAATGACATAAAACGGATTTGTTCGAAAGAGACCTAGGGTCTAAAAAAAATGATTTCGCTGAATAATGTTTTGGCCGTATAAAATGATACATACCATTTGGCTGAGGGTACAACGAATTATGTATTTAAAAAAAAAGTCATTTTACTAAAATCTTCCGGCACCCTCAAAAATGACAGCTTTTCAAAGGAAATTGTGGCCTAAAAATGCCAGGTTGTCAAGTCTTCATTTTGGTCATATCTTCGAGATTTTTTAACCCGATTTTTCCATATTAGAACTAAACATCAATTCTCTATTATGCGCTTATTCAAAATGTATATATTGTGATGATGGGGTCTCCGATAGATAGTTCGAAATTTTTAATTTAATATGAAGGAGACATGGAAAGCTATAATATATGATTCATTTATTTGCCCGTCTGATAATATAACGCCATCTATAGGAAAGTAGTTAAAGTATTTTATTCAATTGCCTGAGATAGGATGGGCAGCTCGAAAATTGGTTACAATACAAAAGTGACATCTCTTTGTTGGCGCCATCTAGAAGCGGATGGCTGTGATACATCAAACACAAATTAAGGTACAGAGATAGACTGGATAGACTTTTAAAATAAAACGACAATGAAATATTAATATTTTATTTTCCACTAGATGTCTCTACTCAATTTACCTGTTGCCTAAGTTTTAGGTGTACGAATTTTGTATGAAACATCCGAATATTGTTCGAATTTCGTATCAAACATCCTATTATTTTCCCATTTTCGAATGATTTAATCGAATTTTTCCCGATTTCTGGATACAACTATAGAATAAATTTAGATTTGTATCCGAATTTCGTGTCAAACATTTGAAAATTTTGCGAATTCCGTATCAAACACCCTATTATTTTCCGATTGTCGATGGATTATTCGAAATTTTCCCGATTTTCGTATAAAACTATAGAAAAAATGCAATTTTTTTCCGAATTTGATATCCAACATCCTATAATTCTCCGAATTTTCAAATTTTCTTTAGCGATTTCTATACGAATTCTCCCCGAAGCTCTTATGTTCTTTTGTATTTCTTTCTCAAGAAAAAAAAACTTTCAGAATCTTGGGCAATCTTACACAATTTTTTCCGAGTTCGTTCCAAATTCTACATCAGAGTCGGAAACTTGTGCAGAGCTTTTTTCCGAATTTGAAAAAAAAATGTTAGCTGGGTTAACACGAAAGAAAGACACTATGAGCATTTTTATGCCCTATATTAAGTTTGCCATTCCGTTTGTAACACTGTGTACATTTTAGATATATATTCTTGATCTGCATAAAATGCTAAATCTGTTTGCCTTCTATGGAAATCACTCTAGCTTCCGAACAAAACAAAGTAGGTATATAAAATTTTATTCAGATGTATTTTAGGTCTACAGGTCTTTTGGTATTGAAAATGGGCTATATAGGTCCACGTTTTATGGTTTTTGGGGAATTCTAGTAACGATTTTAATAGAATTTGCTGTAAATTGTAAATATGTGTTGACAGTATGTAGTAAACATCGTTGCAGAGAACTATACATACATATATGGGTCCAAGTTTTGATATAGACCCCATATTACTGTATCACCAGATATTCGGTATTTTGACGATTTTGATGGAAGTGGTTTTGGAAATGCGTCCTATATTTGTACGAAAACTACCAAACGACACTTAATTTGTTATTGGGTGAAGGAAAAAGGCTGGAATCCCGAAATTTGGCTGGAATCCCGAACGCTGGAGTCAGCGTTTAAAATATAGAGGTGTTTTAGAAATGCGCCCTATAGTTGTAAGAAAACTACTTAGTAATCATCATTCATTTCATTTTTCTTCAACTTGGTGTTTGGAGTTCGTAATAGGCACCACCTTCTGTGGCAGATAATTGAATGTAAAGATCCACTTAACAATTTGATGTAATTCTGTAGTATTGCACCATATAACCTGATATTCGGAATTTTAACACCCTCCACCATATATAATATGGAGGGTATATTAAGTTCGTCACTTCGTTTGTAATTCATCGAAATAATAATTTTAGACACAACAATGTAGCACCACTCTCTGTCCGTCCCTCTGTCCGCCTGTTGTAATCACGCTAGAGTCAAAACGAATTAAGATAAAAAGCTAAAATTTTGCACAGATAAGTCTTTTGTCTGCTGGCAGGTCAATCTAAATATCATATAGCCCCCATACAACGGTACCCCCCGATTTTCGTTATTTTGATGATTTTAGTGACATTTTGTACTGGAATTGTTTAAATTTTCGTATTGAAAGTTCGTTATGGGTACTAAAACATATGGCGGAAAATTGTCTATGCAGGTCCACGTCTTCCACACATATAACGGGTTTCCTTTGAGCGTTACTTTTCGACGGAATTTTTTGGACATTTTTTTAGGTTCCTCCAAAATGGCGGAGGGTATCAAAAGTTTGGACCGGCAGAACTCTCCGAATAATTCAAACATTGGTTTGTTTGTCGCACTTTCTTTTATTTAGGGAACAAGACAGATTTATGCCAGCTACGTTTGTCACACATACATGGTAATTATTAAATACTGACATCATTATACATTCCCAAAGAAATTTCGTGGAGTCGCTTTTCCATCATTTTGTCGACAGTTGTTCTGAAATTTAAAGAAAAATTAAATAATATTAAAACCAGTAAAGAAAGTCTTAAAGTCGGACGTGGCCGACTTTATGATACCCTACACCACTTTGCTAATTTAGTAGAGCTGCGCATAACAATTAAAAGTTTTTATGGGAGAATTCAATCATACACGCTATGATTATAATTATAATTTAAAGTTGGTATCTTTTAAATTCGGACTTGTATTGCCCATTTAGTGCACAATTAATTTGAAATCGGATAAAAATATATATGGGAGCTATATAAAATTTGGCAAAGATATTTCTGAGCTGAATTTGATATATTTCCCTGAATATCGTTGTTACGGAGTGCATATTATGGCTGTGGGTAACAAATATGACAGATCGGATGAACAATATATATGGGTGCTATAGCTATATCTGAACCGATCTTCACCAAATTGACATATGGCTGAGCGTATTAAAATGTGTTCCATACTTCAAATTGGTTTTTATACCCTACAACACTATGTGTTGGGGGTATTATAAGTTTGATTGGGCCAGAATTTATGTAACACCTCGAAATATTGGTTTCCCATATAGGAAAGTATATATGGATCTTCCTAGCTCGCCGAGTTGAGTCGATCTAGCTATGTATTTCCGTCCGTCCGTCTGTCCATGTTAATTTGTAATCACGCTACAGGTCGCAATTATGGCCCGATCCTAACGAAATTTTGCACGAAGGTGGGGTCAGAATAGAAGCCTATTTCTTTTGGAGATGATCGCCATCTGTTTAGGGGTTGAAATGGACCAAATACTGAAAAAATGTCGCATTTTGCAGTAGCAATACAGGTCGCAATTATAGACCAATCGACGCGGAATTTTGAATGTAGCTAGAGTTTAGGGCGGGGAAGGAATCGGATAATATTCAGCGGGTAAAATAGACCATATCTTTTGTGTTGAAATAACTCAAAAGTTTTCATTAAACCGCGAATATTTTAAATCCCGGCGAAATCACAAAGCCATGACAAGGTTACTTCTGATCTTTACATTGATGTTAACATCCAACAAATCGGATATAGAGAAAAATATGTGCGATATATATGTCTATCAAAGAAGATATGCTTGAAAGATCTCTTATATGTCGAGAACGGCTGAACTGAATGACCTCTTGGCAGGAAAGAAAAAACGTCTAAAAAAATCTAAAAATATTGATTTTGTAAAATTTTCTCATATTTTTTCAATTTTGTCATATTTTTGGCATATTTTCATTTTGAATTAAACATTTGGTAAATTTCTACAGCTAACAAAACTAAGTAGTAAGGATATCAGTATATCATATACAGATCGCATTTATGGCCCGATCCTTACGAAATTTTGCATGGGGATAAGATGAGGGTCAGAATAGAAGCATACTCTTTTTGGAGATGATCGCATTATATTTAGGGGTTGAAATGGACCAAAAAACTGCAAAATTATCAGAAGGTCGTAATTATCGCCCGATCCTCACGCACATTTGAATGGGGGTTTCCGCACATTGCATAAGCCAAGCAGTTTCGGATGGCCATCCAAAAATATTCAATGTGTGAAATAGTTTGCCAACTTTTGTAGACAAAATACGAAAATGTCCATTCCAGAGACTTTTTGGAGAATTCACAAATACAGGAAAGACGCACTTCTGACTATTTCGTTGAAGAATATAGTCAAATGTCTGTATCTCATATAGATGCGTTTCAGTCAAAAACCAATAATAAATGTTAATCTTTTGCCACTTCTGAGAGATTATAGGTCTTTGGGAAATATTGGTTCCAGATCTAGGAAGACCAACATCTACCAATAAATTGGAAATGAGCAAATTAGTTTAAGTTGCTATTATTCGAAAATTAGAGAACAAAACCTGATGGTTTTCTTTTATTATTTGTCACAATATCTTGTGGAATTCTGTCGAGTATTTCGCTTATATAAACTGTATGGTTTATTAAAGTGTTGTAGGGTATTCAACGGTCGGCCCCGCTCGACTGTAGCCTTTGCTTACTTGTTTTTATATAAAACCCTTATTGAAAAAATTTAGATATACAAAATAATAAACACAACAAGTAAAAATGTATCCGTGGTTTTGCCGACAGATGTATACCATCAGCCCTCTTCACCCTCTATGGAGTGGGTCAATATTGTCCATTTCGTATCGGACCCAAATAAATATGATATTAATATTATTATAGCAGATGGATATAGCCATTGCAACGAATCGCTGAGTTGTTTCGCAATTTATGACAGATAAAAGTATTGAAAATTATGTCCCTTTGTGGGTGTGGTACCAGAATTTGTTCGCAGATATATAGCATGTTTCCAAAATTAGATTATTGCAAGAAGGAGAGGGCCGATATACTCCAAATTTTTGACATATTGTGGGGGAGGTACCAGAAGGAGTGGACCGATATTGCCCATCTCCAAACTCGATTTAAGTTTGACAAAAATATTACTACGTACCCAGTTTGAACCAAATCGGATACACAAGTCAGCCAGCCAGACGGACGGACGAACATCGCTAGATCGACTCCAAATGTTCTGAAACGGATTTGGTCCAAAGGGACCTAGGGTCTAAAACCGTATCAAATTATATAAAGCCGTATCAAATTATATATACCCTCTAGCCATATGGCTTAGGGTATAAAGAAGACGTGTTTCAATACACACATGTAATTCTGTCTCGCATGTACTTTCCTAAAGTGTTTTAGATTTCCTTTATCATTTTTTTCATTTCACAAAATTAAATTTCGGATATGAATATTTTTTTTTATCGACGTCAACCATCTTACTTTGGATAATCAATTACATTTAAACAATATGTTGTACCACCCAAGGCACATTTCAGCTTGCTTCTTCCATCGATTGCTAGAATTTCTATCCGTTCTGTTTGACAGCAACAAACAGCAAATACGATCAACTTTTAAAAATAAAAAAAAAGATTAAAATATTACATACATAATAATTATGTAAAATCACATACCACGACCAAACAATAATTGACACAAATCATGTTTATTTAAATGTTTTCCTGTATTTAAATTCTATTATTGTTATCCGTTGATGTCATTCCGACGTTTCTTAAGCACAAACGTTCCCTACTTGTACTAAATTGGAAGTATTATGACATTGTACGCATTTATTTATAGAAAAAGATGAACTAAATGTGTTCAAAATTATAGCACATCTTTCTTTTGCGATATTATTTGATATGTGGATTGAGAGAAATAAGAACAATAAAAACCGCAGTAAGCTGCTGAAATTTGGTATTTCAAGTTCGTAATGGATACTACAGCCTAAGACAGAAAATTGTCTGTGCATGTCCACATCTTCTTATGACCCCCATATAATGGCAACTCTCTATTTTGGGTATTTTGATGTTTTTTGTGACGTTATCGGAATGGTTTCAAATTTGGTATTTGAAGTTCGTAATGTATATTACAACCTATGACAGCAAATTGAATTGTAACGACAACTCTCTATTTTCGGTATTGTGATGTTTTTAGCGGCGTTATTTAGCGGAATGGTTTCAAATTTAGTATTTGAAGTTCGTAATGGATACTACAGCCTATGACAGAAAATTGTCTGTGCAGGTACACGCCTTCGTGTAGACCCATATAACGGCACCTTCTTATATTCGGTATATTGATGATTTTTGGGAAAATTGTCTGTGCAGGTCCACGTCGCCGTATAGATCCTTATATAAAGGCTACATTCGGTATTTTTAAGATTTTAACAGAATTTTTAACGGACTATATTTTTTTTTTTGAAAATTGCCAAATTCGTTCGGACCATTTTATTATTTTTACCAAATTGTAATTAAAAGTTTCAAATCAAACTTTTCAACTATTAAAAACGCTAGTAGTCTGAGTTGGCGCGGAAACGTTCTCACCGAATAGTCCTAAGAAACTCGTTTTCGTTATCAGTGTTGTTATACTCTCCACCTTGGAAAGGAGGGTATATTAACTTTGTCATTCCGTTTGTAACATCCTTAAATATTCGTCGTATACCCCATAAAGTATATGTATTCATAATCAGCATGAAATTCTAAGTCGATTTAACGATGTCCATCTGTCTGTCCGTCTGTCTGTTAAAATCACGATAC